CAGGTATTTCAGGCTATTCCAAACTACTATGAGCTCGATTCGAGGCTGCCATAGTACGTAGGGCTGCCTTAATCTATATCTAGGTTTACAGTCAACCCAGGTTAACAAACAAGTGAGCTCCAGTACAGATCACAAGAATGCAGAATTTTTTTTTTCAATTTTAAGCATTTTAGACCAGAACAACACTTTGTCAAGTGAACTTTTGATATGAGGAAGTGAAAGAAAGTTTCAGTGATTATCAAGTAGTTTTCAAAGAAGTGTTCAACCAAATGTAAGCCTCAATTCTGTTTCATCCTCGACATTTGACTATCTACTAATTATGCATTCTCTACTTATCTAGACACTGAAAGACTTGACTGACTCGATCACAGAGAGGGAAACAAAAACACAACAAAACAGCAAAAATAGAAAAGAAATAGAAGAAACAGGGCAAAGAGCCAAAAAAACAAAGACTCAAACAGACTCGATCATAAAAACAGAAAACTAAAAACTAATAGCCTAGACATGGTCAATTCTCTTCACACCCTCCCCCAGACTTAAAATCCAGCATTGTCCTCAATGGTGAGTAAAAAGAAAATAGAGGAAGAGATGAAGAGAATAGAAAGACACACAAAATAGAAAAGAACAAAAACAAAAAACAGAAAAGAAGAGAAAAGAGAACTAGTGACTCCCCTGATTAGGGTTCATCCCATCAAAGAGATGAGGTGGTGGTCCTTAATATTACAATCAATTTGGGACCCCATCTTCTCATTGATGTGCTGGATCATTTCTTCTTGTCCGCAGCCAAACGATGGATGTAGCACATGATGTACTTGTTCTGTTTTGTAAAGTGCTTTCTTCTGATCCCAATGATTTCTGGGGGCTCTTCTCTTGGTGGTGGGTCTCTGGCCAACCCTTTCAAACTCCACGGGCGAGATATCATTTCTTGCAGATCAGCAGGGACAAATTTCACATCTGCCTTGGCACAGAGCATGGTGACCAAGACAAGGAAATACCAACTTGAACTGTTGAGTCATTGATGCATCTATTCATCTGATCTCGAATGATTGTTGCCACATCAAAAGGAGTGGAAGTGGTGATGGCGTGAATGAGGAGGGCACGCTCATAAGTGACAACTTGACTGAAATTTGTTGGCATGATGGTGTTAGTTTATGAACTTTAGCCACGCCTTGTTTTCAGGCTTCAACGAGGCATAGGGGAATGAATCTGGAGCCCCTTCTCTATCCAAATCCCATCCACAACCATTGGGCTCCTCACAGAGGTTCTGCAAAATTGCCTCGGGCATGTTCTTCTTGGGGTGGAGGTTTTCCAAGGCCTTGACATGGTCTATCTCCACAATTTGGAGTCCCAAGACTTCCCTAATTGCAGCAGGGGAAATGGACATGTCTTCCTTGAACATAGACAACATCGTCTTCAGCAGACAACAGATTGCTATAGAGCTCCCTTACCGCTTGCAATCGAGGCTTCATTGTTGGATTGCACAATTTAGTCCAGTTGTGCAGGAGGATGTACATCTATGGGAAATCCTCTGAAATACCCCTCTCAACGATGAATTTTTGATCCTGGTTGTTCTTGAAAAAGTCCCAAGCTTCGTCAGTGCCATACAACACAGGGTTCTTTTAGCTTGCAGTGCTGCCTCCGCCGCTTCCCTCTGTACTCTTTTGGGTTGCCTAGGCTTGGCAATCGGGGGTTGTGCAATACCGATCTCCAGATGCCTATTGGAGACTCATTTTTTGGCAGATTGATTGATATTCACCATAGTACGCTGCAAAAGATTGGATTTTTCTACCAGGCAATAGATTGAAAAGTTGGATTTTAGGTTGAGGCTGCTAGAAGGGTTTGAAAGCAGAAGAGATACTGAAGAATTTTTATTTTCGGCAGAAAAGAATCTGAAGAGGATTTGGTGTAGGGAAGGCTAATGGGTGGATAATGATGACTTTGGGGTGTGAGTGTTGCAGTTAAAGGCAACAACTCCCCACGTCTAGTCATTCAAAGCGTAGAAAGGGAGATGCCTTTCTGGCCATCAAAACACAGTTAATCAAATTGAATTTCCCCCCCTCAAACATAAAGTAAAGACCAGTTCCCTAAGTCAACAGCAGACTTACTTGCCTTTTGTATAGATGGCGCAAAACTCTAGCTGATCCTCTATAGAGATTAGAGAATAATTAACCATGCAAAATCGCATTGTTAACATCATTTCCCCCAAATCCTCCCATTGTAATAAGAGCCTTGTTCAGCAATTTCTTGAGCTAGGATGCATCAGGATCATTAGAAACAGAATTCAAGTATTCCTTAAACCAGGTGACCAATCTAAGTTAGAGTTGCGTCGGGCTAAACAATCTTTTTGCCTGTGTCTGATAGTGAATCTCCAAACTGGTATATGGATTCAAAGGGATATAAGCTTTGGTTTATAGCAAATGCAGTGGTACCAAATGATGAGGAGCAACCCAACAGTGACTTAACTTAATGATGATTTAACCTGCAAAAAAGAATCTCGAAGTGTTCCAAGGAGTAGAGCTCCAAAGCTTAAGTTAGCTTCTTGTTTGAGAAAGTGAATATAGAGTTTAGGTGGTGTCTTTAGTTACCTTTGATATGCAAGTACCTCAACTATTTATAGACAATGTAATGGCAACTAGTTGGCAGCAACTTACTGAATCATATCTCTTTGGAAGATCTCTAAATATATGAGAGATTTGATTATCACAGTCAGTTTGTTGCAGACTTAGTTGGGAGAAGTCAAAACTTTATCCACTCTCCAGCTTCTGGTGATTTGAGTAAGAGAATAAGCCAACCACTTGTTTCTTTTTGTAACCAACACCATCATTTGCCCCCCAGTTAAAGACTTGGATAACATTTAAACCAAGACTTTAATTATATTATTTGTGGAGTTTTATGCTTCTTCCATTTTTACCATTTCGTTTGCATCGCCAAAAATTATTGTTTGAGCTTAATATTTCAAGAATAATTTTTGATCTATAAAAGGGTTTTTTTTTTTTTTTAAGGAAATGATTTTGTATTTCAATAATAATAGGGATGCAGCTTTTCAGCTTTGTCGATTTGAACTTATCGGTTTGATTTGGTGGCTCAAATCCTAGTTGGAATTTAAAGCGCATTGCATTTAGCAATTGTACAATAGCGGGTGTAGCTTTAAAGCTTTCCCGAGCCGAAATTATCGACTTAAAAAGATTCGGTTCATTCAATCCGAAATTGATAGCAGTTGTATTTTAACTGAGCCAGATGTATCTGACTTAAAATGCAGATAGAATAATATTTATCTTGCAACATGAAATGATTTTATTAAAAACATAACAAAATAATAAAAATTATTGCAAAAAATCCCAAAATGGCATCGGTGATGTAACAAACATTAGAACAATTCAATTAGTATATTGTCTGTTGTTGTTTTCATCTCTTGAAGACCTTAGCGTGTCAACATATTCTTCAAATTTTCTGGGCTGAATTAACTCTTCTATTTCTTTTTTCAAGTCATGATAGTCTTCAGTATCATGCCTATGGTCATTGTGGAAAGAACACCTCAAATGAGTAAGTCGTTTGTGAGCAGGACTAATCATCGGAGGGGTGGCTTCAACTCATCTTTGTGAATAGATAGAATTTCAGTTCGAGACTTAATCAGTGGAGTCCACAATTTTTCTTTCAGATTTGCTTCTTTGAGCGGTTTTGTACTTACGAAGTGATCCCCAATTTTACTCCTTTTCTATTTTCAGCATGCTTCCGATTCGACTCTTCACCTTTGCTCCACTTATCTACTTCAATAATCATTTGTTTTTGTTTGAGTCAAAATTGTATTTGAGAGTGAAGACCGATTCGGCTCAAACTAATTTCAGATAACTGTGTGATATTTTCGAAACCCGAAGTTCAATTGTTAAAGTTATTCAAGGATGTCAATACCTTCGACCCGCGATCAACTCGAAAACTTATGTGTTTGACGACGAAATAATAAAGAAATTCAAAAGGATGAATAAAATGGCCAACAAAGGTCAGTTTTAATGACTTGATGAGAATGAATCGGCTAGAAATAGCCAGAAACGCCGAAAGCTTATAAGAATTAATATTGAAAAGTAAAGAAATACATAAAAGCTGAAATAAATGATAAAAAGTTATAAAGAACTAAGAATATGATTTTTTTTTGTGATGAATTGTGTGTGTTGCCGTCTCCCCTTTCCAGCCTTTATAGATGGTTGGCCAACCCTAGTTGAATAACAGAAGTCAAATGCGATAAGGACTTGTGTTGCGGTTGGAATCCTTCTCCAACAAGGATTGCAATGTCGATGACTCCTTCTCCGATTCAAACTGTCGACTGCCGCTTCTTCTTCAGTTTTCTTATGCACTTGATAATTTCTTTGCTCCTTTTATTGTTGTTGTGATCGGCCCAACTCGTGTGGACCAGATTTGCTAAAATCGGTCCAACATAAAGCCCCCCAAGGGAAGCAAATTTGGGCAGAAAATTGCTTGCCCTACTGCCCTACTCTCCCTTCAATCAAATATAATGGGACGATCTGGTAGTAAATCCGTCCAAGGAAAAAAAATTGATCGACCCAAGAAAATTTTCCCTTCAGCCCAATATAATGGGACGATCGAACAGTAAGTCTGTCCAAGGAAAAAATTGATCGGCCCAAGAGCCCCCCCCAGCAAAGGCGCGTGTGACCAAATGCGTTTTTGCTAACGGCTTCTTGACTCTGGCGCTTCTCGAGGGTTGACCAGCCTTGAACTCACTTAAGGGATGCTGGAGAGAGAGAAAGGGATAGAACGGCTTCAACAATTTTGCTTCTTTTTAGCGAAAAAAAATCTTTTCCGATTCTAAATCTCAATCAAATATAAAGCTGTTACAGTGAAGTATAATAAAGCAGCAGTTCTGCAATAGCAAAAGTCCCATATCTGCCTATTCAATTTTTTACCCAACAACTGCGATTTTCGCAACCCAAGTTGAAAATCCCTTGTCGATCCAAGTCTGTTTGTTGCTTAGCAATTGTGAATGAAGAATGACTGGTACTAGTGATGCCAATCCCATGGCTTATGACAAAGCCAATGCTGCAACCCATGGCGTGAAACTAGAAGACATCGATTTTTTTGCAACCATATGAAGAGTATGTTATGTTGCCGTTCAACCAATCTTCTCGCTAGTTCCCTCTTGGCTGCAATTTCCCATCGGTGCTGAAAAACCTCAAAGAATACATCCCGATGTTAAGCCCACAAATACGAGAACCCTTGTAAGTTTGAGAACTTTGACAGGATTCGGGTACGGCCATGGTCTGACAAGCCAGAGACCCAAGATGCATTTGTACAGTGGTACTAGGAATTGGAGCCGGAATATGGAGATACCTAGAGAATGACTGGAATTTATGATTTGTTATAATTTTGCACTATAGGGCTTGGAGAGAGCCGGGATTTGGTGGAAGTAGTGCTGGGGTTCTGGAGCGGCACCAGTAATGTGTTCTGCTTTCCCTGGGAACCAATGACACCCACCTTGCTGGATGTGTGTGTGATTACCGGTCTGCCTACCGTTGCAACCGTAGCCGTTGATGGGAGTGTAACAGATGATGATGCAGCTGCAGCGGGGGTAGGTCAACCAAGGAGTTATGGTCCTTTCATTAGTGAGAACAAAGGGAAGCTAAGTCGCCTACATCATATTTGCTTTCAGGCTCTGTGGTTGAACATGTATGTGTTTCCTGGAAAATCCTTTCAAATGACTATGGATTGATATCATGTGGCTGGTAGAGTAGCAGCTGGAGAACAAATGAATTTGGCTGAAGCTGCTCTGCCCATGCTTTATCACTGTCTGCACGAAGCTAGGCATAATCCATGTTCAATTTTATGTGGTCCTATCTGGTTGTTGCATTTTTGGCTGTACATGTATTTCCCTAGTTTGAAACCAGAGGGATTTTTCCAGTTGAGAGTGGAAAATCTCTTTGCCTTGAAGTGCAACAGTACAAGAGAACTTTCAATAGAACGCAGGCGTTCAAAACTATTTTTGAATCAAGCCCAGACATAGGTGTTATGGTGCAACAACTGAGCCGTGACTGGTGGCTTAAGAGTTTTGGCAATATTTGCCATTCAGAAGCAGAAAATGGTAGATGGGATAACATTGGTCCGTTTGGCTTGACATCAGTTTGGAGCCACCTGCTGTCAGTAAGGGATATTTTTTATGGTAGTAAAAGTGTGCAATCTCGCAATGTTGGTGCTAATATGCATGCCGAATATTACCATGCTAACATGGTAGCCCGTCAATTTGGGTTTGCACAAAGCGTGCCCCATTTTGAGGTAGCTTGCTGGAACACGGGAAGACTTGGTAGGGAGAAATTGACCATGGCGCAGTATACAGCTCACAAGGAATTGATGGCTGTCCGGGGCAGAACCTCTCCAATAACACCCTTTAAATTCTGCTTTGAAGCAACACCCGGGTTTACTGAATGGTGGGGTGAGCTTTCAAATACGATGTTTGGCTCTGGGTATGAGGCAATCAAGACTTCATTTCGCATTGGGAAATATGTGAAACCCAAAGCTGCTGCTGGTGAGGCTGAAGCAGAACCAAAAGGTTAGACATCCTCTTTGAGATTTTTACTGTTGCGGCTTATAATCACATAACTGTCCAAACATTATCACTGTAGGGAAAAACAAAGGTGTGGGGAAAGCAAAAGCTGGTGGTCAGAAGACCAAGAAAACTATTGCTGTTGCAGGAGGAAAAGCTAAACCAACTCCTGCTAAGGGAGCTCCAACCACAACTCGCCGGTCCACAAGACTAATTGGACAAAAACATTCTGCAATTGAAGCTAGCAACAAGGTAAAATAGCACAATCAACTTGTCATTGTACTAGGTTTTGAATGTGTACCAAATCTGAATGTAGTATTCATGTCACAGGAAAATCCGGTGACTGTCCATGGTAGTGACGAGGAATCGGACAGTCAAGAAAGTGAGAAAAGCTCTATTGCACTTGGCGAAAGCGTTGCTGCCTGGAAAACTGCGTCCGAATCTGGTGGAGCTAAGAGTAAGAAAAAGTTAAGAGCGGCCACTTCATCTACCAGTCTGAGTTATGTAAAGAAAGATCCCCCAACTGTTGCAGCTCTGATGGCTCGGTTGGAACGAACAAAAGCAGCGTCATTCATTAAAGTAGACGTTGCCCCCAATTCGCCTGACATCCCCTTGGGCATTGCTTTGCAACAGATTACTGACATGTTCCAGCTTCTAGCAGAAGAAGTGTATAGCAAAAAGTATGACCAGTTGAAGAATCTGCTGTCCGCAATCCAAACCTCTCTTGTTGATGACAACATGGCAGCAGCCATTCGGCTAATCTTGGGGGAAGCGGCACAGAAGTAGATAGAGTGTCAAGTCTATGTGCCACACATTGAGGAATATCAAACTCCTTATGCCTTGTAAGAAAAGAACAAAATGTTGTCGGAGCAATTGGTAGACCAGGCAGCGCAACTGGAAGCTGAAATAAAAAAGAAAATGGCGGAAGAAGCAGAGCTAAAGGCGCAGCCGGAGAAAGTAATGGCCAAACGAGTGGACTTAGAATCTACTTTGGGTGCTATGATTGCAGATACTGATGTTGCACTTGAGGAGTATGGAAGTATGACTGAAACAGTAACGAAACTACACCCCAAGTACCAAGATGTGCAGCAGGTTGTGAAAGGAGCTCAGGCGAGTTGGAATTTCCTAAATAACACAATTACTCGTTTGATGCGGTCTGTAGGAATAGCTCCGAATTCTCCCGCTGTCATGGATCATGCACACCTAGACCAATCAGAAGTGGCTCCGACTGTAGGAGGAAGTGTTGCACCAGAAGAAGTCAAGCAAGATGTCCCACCAAATAATGAAGAACCCTTGGAAGTTGAGCCTTTGCAGAGTATGCCGGCATCGCCTCCTGCTTAAAAACACTTGTTGCAGTACTTCTTTGGTTGTAAACCTTTCTGCTTTTGTTTTCTGTGTCTTTTTGCATGTTAGTGTTGATGAACTTTGCAGCGACTATGTTCCTGCTCATAAACAAACTTTTTTGCTCGTGAGTTAGTAATGCATATGTTTTGCTTCTTAAGTATATTTGGTATTAGCGATATCCCTTGCCAATTGTTGTTCTTCAGTGTTGAGTTGATCCCATGCATTAGCAAAGTACTTGCACAGGAATGCAGCATTGATTGATCTGTCTGCAACTGTTCCACCTATGTCCTTTAAAATGTGAACCTCACGACCTAAATGCCGGTGTATGATATAAGGGCGTTCCCATGTAGGGCTCCAATTCCCATAAGCTCGATCTTTAGAACCCAAAGGCAAAACTACTTTCCATACTTTAGTGCCAACATTAAAGTGCTTATGTCGAATAAATTTGTTGTAAGCATGGATGATTCTAACCTTTTGGTTAATGATATTTGACGTTACTGAGTTTCGGATGTGGGATAAGTTATCTTGATCAACTTGCATTGCTGTAGTGTAGTCGGATAAATCTAAAGGAAATTATTGACTAATCCTAAGAAAGGGTAGAAGATGTTCAATGGGCAAAATTGCATCATGACCATAAACCAATTCATATGGAGTTGCCTTGGTGCTACCCCGCTGCGTCACTCGGTAAACCCGGAGCGCACCGCAGGATTTCATGCCACTGTCTTGGATTATCATATATTATTTTCTGGATGATTCTCTTCAGTATTTTATTTGTTGATTTAGCCTGACCATTACCTTGATCAAAATATGGGGAAGAATGTGTTAGAGAAAAACCCATATCTTTAGCAAACTGCACCATTTTTCGACCAACAAAGTATTGTGTCTGATCTGTAATGATTGTTTCAGGCAGTCCAAACCTGTAAATGATATGCTCTTAGAGGAAAAATATGACTGTTTTCTGATCTACATCTTTCAAAGGTACCGCTTCTACCTATTTAGTGAAATAATCTATTGCGACTAACACGTATCGGTGCCCGGAAGACGATGGTGGATGTATCATGCCAATAACATCGAGAGCCCAACAACGGAATGGCCATGACTTGACTATGAATTGCATTGGCTCTGGGTGTGTATGCGAATATTGGTGTGTTTCTGGCAATCAACACACCCTCTAGCAAAATTGATACAATCTTGGGTCATAGTTGGCCAAAAATAACCGTGGCCACGCAGTAACGAAGCCATTTTTTTTTCGCCTTGATGCGCACCACAGAACCCTTCATGTGTTTCAAGCATCAACACCGTGTATGCTGGCTTGCTTAAGCACCGAAGCAAAACCTCATCGGCTGTTTTGCGGTATAGTAGTCCTTGCAACAGAACATAGGTTGGCGCTTGTCGACGTATAGAAAATGGTGTGTGATGAGTTGGTTCTTACAAGAACTTTATTATCGGTGTCCGCCAATCCTCTACTGGGTTAACGGTTGCAACCGAAAGGATCTCTTTGAGATTGTATCGAACAGACGCCGAAGCATCAAAATCTACGATGTCATAAGCAATGTCTGGGTCAACTGGCTTTGTGAGATACCCAGAAGCTAACTGTGGCATGTCATTGGCATCAGCATTGAATTCCCGTTCAACATTGTAAAACTCAATATGTTGGAAGTGAGAAGCAAAGACATCACCGACAGCTGCGTTGGACATGATTTCATCATTGCGATCCATCAACTTTTTCATCGCCTAATGACTAATGCAGAATCTCCAATTACCTTGGCATGAGTTGCACGATTATGTAGTAATGGTTGCAAGACGTGGACTAGACCTTCATACTCCGCCTGATTATGGGTTGCACAGAAATTAGACAAATATGGTAACGTAGCTTCTGTCCGTGTGGAGAAGTAACTACTATCCCAGCACTGCTACGCGTGAAAGTTCTGGTCCATCGAAATGTACCGTCCAGAGTGGTTCTTCTACACGGTAACCCTGAAATGACTCGAGGAATGCATCATTCCAATCATCGTTAAGTGAAGGATGTGCAGCTAAGAAATCCGCGAGTGCTTGCCTCTTTACTGCCGATTGGGGTATTTGTTGAAATTGATACTCCAACAAGGCAAGAACCTGACCAGGTTGATTTTGCTGATGACACAAACTAAACCAGGCAGCATATAATGGCGTAACTTGGTCGGAGCAAAATATAGTGCCAGACACAGCTTTTCAATCGGAGGATATCTGCGTTCTGTGTCGGTGAGCATGCGGCTTAAGTAATAAATGGCCCGTTCAAATCCATCGTGGCCATTCTGAGCTAATAAACAACCTAATGACTCCTCAGTCACCGATAAGTAATGTTTTAATGGTTTGCTCTTGACCGCTGCAACCATAACTGGAGGAGTGGATAAAGCCAGCTTGATATCTTGGAACACTTGCCATTGCTCCTCCTTCCACACAAAATCTTTGGCTGCTTGAACCTTCAAAAGTGGAGAGAATGGCTTCAACTTCTTAGATAAGTTAACAATGAATCGGCGAAGAAAATTAACTTTGCCTATTAAACTTCGTAATTCTTTCTTTGTCCATGGAGGTCAAGCTTCAATAATTGCCTTAGCCTTTTCAGGATCCACCTCAATGCCTCTGGAATGAACTATGAAACCCAAAAACACACCCGATGATATGGCGAAGGCGCATCTTAAGGGGTTCAACTTTAACTGATATTTTTGCATGCGCTCAAAGCAGTGATGTAAATGTTGCAGATGTTCCGAAAAGGAGTGTGACTTCATTACTACATCATCTATGTAAACTTCCAGGACTTTCCCAATGAGATCATGGAAAATACAATTCATTGCCCGTTTATAGGTTGCCCCTGCATTTTTCAATCCAAATGGCATCACTTTCCATTGAAAAATTCCTAAAGCTCCTGGTGCACAAAAAGTAGTTTTATGAACATCCGCAGGGGATATAAAGATTTGATTATATCCAGCGTTGCCATCTACAAAACTCAGGACCTAGAAAGCGGTCAACCTATCAATTAACGTTTCCGCAACTGGCATATGATATTCATCTTTTGGTGACTCCAAATTAAGATTACGGAAATCTGTACAAACTCTTGTTTTGCCATTTTTCTTGATGACAGGAACCACATTGGATAACCATTCAACATATACTGTGACTTCGATGAAATAAACCGCCAATAAGCGTTCAATTTCTTCCTTGACTTGGACAACAACATCTTCCGAAAATCGTTGTGGTGGTTGTTTGAATGGCTTGAAACTCTTCCTCAAAGGGATACTATGCTCAACTAAACCGCGATCTAAACTTGGCATCTCCGTATAGTCCCATGCAAAACAGTCACGGTATTGTTGCAATAAAGCAAGCAATTGTTTCTTTTCATTGGTTGTTAAGGAAGAACTATTGTAAGTAGGTTTTTCCTCGGCAGATGAGCCTAGGTTTACTGCTTCAACTGGTTCTTTGGTGACAACTGCGTCATCACTTAACTTCAGTGTTACAGTGGCTAATTCATTCAAGTCTATCACATCACTGTCAGAAATCAGATCAATATCATAAATCACTTCATCCCAACATACTGTAGGCGTATCGGCTTCCTGTTGGTGTTCATTTTCAAAATGCTATAATATGCACCGGATTGCTTCATTTTTCTCTTTCGCTTTTGATAACTCAATATCTAAATCATCTGCACTCAAAGCTCTTAACTGTTCAACTGTCTTCATTGGAAACTTCTTCAATAGCTGGTGCAGCTGGCAACGGCCTTAACACGGTATAATTGTACGACCTGTTGACTTCTTTCCAAAGCAACTTCGATATAGGAAGATTCATGTCTCTACGCATAGTGGCCTGCTTTGGCCGACCATATTTGTCCATACCAATAAGCCGATACGGACCCACTTCACGATCATAGTAATAAGCTTCCACAACATTGGCTTGTGCTATGAAAGGACTTGTATCGGCTGCAATAATTTCTGGACTCTCTGCTCCCCATAAAATAATTGCTTGATGTAAAGAGGTTGGAATGCATCTCGCCGAGTGAATCAAATCTCATCCCAAGAGAGCATTGTAAGAAACTTTGGTGTCAACAACAAAGAATGCTGATACTTCCATCTGTGATCCTACTTCCACTTGCAATGGCAAAATGCCTTTGGTACTTGTGACATCTCCTGTGAATCCACTCACAAAAACTTCAGTAGGCACTAGATCTTCTAATTGCTTACCTAGCTTATGTAATGCTCTTGATGGTAGAATATTTATAGCTGCGCCATTGTCCACTAATACTCTTCTCCACCAGATTCCATCCATAACGGCGCAAATATACAATGGCCTGATATGAGATGTAGCATCTTCTGCCGGTTGAGAGAGTATGATAACTGGATTTTTTCGTTCTTATGAAAGTAACTGAATTCCACCAACTGTAGTATCATGTGGCTTCGTCACAAACGAAGCTGCTTCTGGAACTGCAACACAGTGTGCAACGGTCTTGGGAACCAGGACTGTCACAGATGGAGGGTTTCGTAAACAAATCGACTTTGGCAAGGTGTAGACCATGTTTACTGGTGGGAAATACACATCTGACTTTCCCCACAATTGTGGTCATCTTTCTTCTTGTCCTGAAAACCTGATTATCGGTATTTCTTGCGAACTGCTGATTCAGTCTTTGCAAGTACTTTCTCCTTGTCTGATTCCGCCTTGGCTTTCTTATTCATTACCCTTTGCCATCGACATTTTTTGAGTCCTAGTCATTTTTGCTCCTGCTGATGTCTGATTGGGGAATTTTGGATGAGTTGCACGATGCCATTCTTTATCATGTATAGATGCTGTCCGAACTGTCCTTGGCGCAACATTATTCTGTGGCACAGGTCTTCCAATTTGTTGCCATGCTGATGGTTGGTGATCCTGATTATGACACTGTTCATTAATCCTCTCAGTAGTGATAGGTTTCCCTAATTTTGCCTGCACAGGTAATCGTCATTGAGTTGGAGGAGTTGCTTGCCGTTTTTCTGAATGCTGCGAATTTGGTTTTCGATTTTGATTCAAAGAACTCAAAATGGCATCTGATACAACCCGTGACTTCTCTTGTTCAGGATCTAAATTTGTTTCTTTCTGTATCCAAGTCTGCGCCTGCCCGTTGGGCGCGGAACTTGTCGATGTAAATGTCCTCCGAATTCAGATCCTAACTCGTAAAATCATCATTTGACTCGGGTTAAAACTTTGTCGCACTCCTCACAACCTGTGACCAGACATGTTTCATGGGCATGACCTATAAATCCTAAATCAACCATTTGGACTTGATGCTGTTGCGGGAAAGGATTGGTATTCATCTCTATCGGATCTTCCACTATTACATTGCCATCATCTATCATTTTCTGAAGCTTATTACGGAACACAACACAATCGTTTATGGTGTGAGTCCATGACATATGATATTTGCAATAGGTCTTTCCCATTACATCCGCTGGCTTTGGCTGTCGGTACCCTTTCTTGTACTAAATATGGCCTTTCTTAAACATATCATCAAAGATAGCCTCTTGCTATAAAATGTCAAAGGAATAAACCCGTCCAATATTAGCTCCATCAGCTTGTCCTACCGGTGGAGGAGTGTTGTAAGAATGTGGCACTACAGGTCGACGCAATGCATCACTAGTATAGTTTCGAACATTGACAATTTCAGCAGCATTAACGTCATACTCATCATCATCTTCATCATGCACCCAATGGTTTTGATTTACTTCCGCCACTGGATTCTTATTAAACCACTGCTTTGCTTTCAATGGATTCTTCTCTCTTTTATCCCTGATTACTTTCTCACATCGCCTTACAATGTGTGCCAAGTGATTCAAAGATCGAACGGAATGTGGTGCAATAGCTAATTTCACCTTGTAATCTTAAATTCCTGCGACTGCCATTTTAACGATAGTAGGTTCTTCATACTTGTCAGGTATTTTATTATACATCTGGTGGAACCGGATTAAGTATGCTTCTACTGTTTCTCCAAACTTTTGCCAGATTTCTGATAAGTCAACAATTGACAATCGTGCGGTATCCCTGCGGAAGTATGATAGAAATTCTGGTTGTTGAATGTCCCATGATGGAATGGACCCTGGTGCTAGTGATCTATACCAATCAAAGGCAGTTCCTTTCAAGGAATAAGGGAACAAACGCAACTTGATCAAAGCATTGTTGCTTACTGAACCACATTTCACTTCAAACAAACTTATGTGATCTTCAGGTCGTTTCTCATCCTCTCTCGAAAACTGTTGAAAATCAGGGATCTTAAAATTTCTAGGCAATGGTTCCCTTTCAATAAAATCAGGATATGGTTTTCCTAGAACCTCTGGAATCTCTGTGCCCAACTCTTTACGTATCATATCTTCTACCATCCTTGAAAATGTTTCATCAACATTTAAAGTCTGTTCAACCCCTACGTCAAAGTCCTATTGTTGATTGACATTTGCTCTTGCATCTGGTTCTTGTCGAAACTCATCAACTTGGACATCAGAATTAGCAATCAAGTGCATACCGAGGTCATCGGTTTCAAGCCACTTACGAAATTCATCACTGTATTGCATAATTTCATTACTTGGAGCAAAATCAGCTTCATTACCTCCTTCAATGTTATATTCAAGTTCATTCCTTAAGTTCATAAATTCACACGTAACACTAGAATAAGCAGGCAAGATATCAACATCAATGACACTCTCTAATCCACCAGGATCAACATGAACCTCAGGTACACACTTATCATCAACAGAATCATTTGAACTCAAGGAATCACCCTTCGAATCATTTGACAGACCAATAGCAAAACTATAGCCACCGTTATGTTTCATCTTAATATTAACATCATCAACCCAACACGTTTCATCAACAGTTTCAGAAACTATGTCAACCGAAACCACAGAAACACCATTCAATTCCAGAGATTCATCAACAGAGTCCACAGATTTGGCAAAATCTACATTTTGAGACAGAGGATTACCGTTGTCATCAAAGTTCTCAGTAAAACTGTCAGTAGGCGAACCAATTTCTGGTGTGTTCTCATCTGTTGAGGTCGACTGAGCTACCTCCACCGTATCATCATCATTTTCTTTATCTCTTTCATCCCATTCTTTCTGAGGCACTGATTCACCAGATTCCTTTGGCAGCCAGGAATCATCTTCATCACCTTCTAGAGCTGATTTACATCCCATGCAATCCTCCACTGGTGGCTTTACTTCTTTCTTGACTTAGGAATTTGTCGGCGTTGCCTCCCAAGAGTTGACTACCATTGCCGGTTGAAAGACCTTACAGAATCTAAGCTCCAGTTGATCGGCAAACCTTTCCCAAGTTGATAATTGGGAAATGGAGAGCAACCCATACAAGAATTGCAAGGGTTCTCCTGTTAAATATAATTCCGAAATAAATAATTTTGAATCCGGTCGTATGGAGTTAAAGGAAAAGAGTCACTCCATTTTGCCAATCCACTGGCCGACATTTTCACATGTAAAAAGAGGAATTCCTGATGGAGAAAGCTCGGGAAGATTATAAGGTGCCGGATTTGGTGGATTGATTTCAGACGGTGGGAGCGATAAAATTTTCTGAACCCTAAGTTGGGTCTTGTCGGATTCAATGAATTCCATCGATGGATCGATAAAATGAAGAAATGGAACCGAGGACAGTTTGGTGTGATCGGAGAAGCGAAGAAATCACACAGAATTCAGAAATGGGAGAGGAAGAATTAGATTTTAGATTTCAGAGGGTTTGAGAATAAGAAGAGGAAGAAAAGAGTGAACGGAGTGAATCCGATATAGAGACGGCCAAGAATCGGCCGGCTCTGATACCAAATTTCATGACCGGGGGCCTCATGGAGGTGGCCAAAAAACAGAAACAGAGAATTTGGACGGAGACGGGAAGGAGTTAGGGTTCAGGGAGGAAGAACGACGAAGGAGGAGAAGAAATTTGAAAAATCCAATTTTACACAATATTTTTTGATAATCTGATTTCAGTCCCTAGTCACTATTTATAGCCTAGCATAATTATAAAATTACAAATCAGCCCCTATATTCTCTATTCTCTACTACCTAGTCCAAGGGCATGACAAACGCTCAAGCAAGAGAAAGCCAGTTATACTGTTAGTTAAGGTCCACAACAAACCCACGAGTCAAACGTTCAAGTGGGTTAATATAAAATCACCACAGGCTACCTCCGGCCCAGAACTCCACCACAGGCCTAGTCCGTTCTGATACCATGTCAAAGTATATAAGTACTTTGGACTCTCATCTCAAAACCAATTGGCAATGAGTGAGGTGGACTTTGGAACTGATATACTGAGTCACTTTTCTTCACGGTGGCGATGTGGGACAGATAATACACCTTGACACTTGCCCTCAAACACATCATGACTAAGCCAAAACATATCTCGGGCACCTTTATTACTGAAATCCCAACACTGCTAAACATGAAGCCAAGAAATCCGCAACAAAGTTAACTAAGCTATAAATAAGAAATGAACCATGCATGCTTCCCCCCTCTCTCTAGCAGCTCCCAAATTCTTTGCAAAATGCCTTCATGCTTACGCTATTTAATTTCTTAAATCATATCCACCAAATCTGCCTATCGACTAACAAACGACGAGCAAACTTACGAAAATAAACTAGGATTGAAAAATTATCCTTTGAGAAAAGGACACTTTACTAGCTAGCTAGCCGCGGTGAGCTCAAAATACAGGTCGAAATGAACTGTTTTAACTTGAATAGTTAACAAAGTCATTGAATGCAAGCGCTTAATTACTTCATCGGAATTAGGTGTGGTTTCGAAATCTGACATTGAAAGTTCCAGAACTATCACATCCATACTTTTGAATTCTTTATCTTTCAAATTTCTGTTTGATTTGATTTCATAATAACCATGGCTTTGTGGCTTGCATTCCCCAAACAGGAGGGGATGGTTAAATTCAATTATGTCAGCCACTCGCCAAGCATGCTTATTGGGGGAATTTGTGGACATGATATTCGAAACATATTCATAAACTTCAAATTGCTCCTAATTAGCGGACAATAATTTCAAGATGGGTAAATGAGGTGCCGAAAAAAAAAAAAAAACATTAAGAAAGTTTCTGGATTTGAGAAATTGGTTTCCTAATTTTTTTTTAGTATACACCAAGGAAAATAATTTATATATATTATCCAAAGAAATCGTAGGCTTGAATTGTACACCAAAGGAAAATAATCTATACATGAAGCAAGAATTAATTGTACTTTCTATTGTACCAAAGAAAAATGAAAGAATATTGATTTCATTATATACGTAAAGAATCGATCCTGTAACACTATCATGTACTAACATTTTTTGCAATATATTTAGGAATTCGATACGTACGTGCGTCCGTATACCTTCCTACTCGGACCTTCAGAGTTCAGATAGAGTTGCTTCCGAGATATTAAATCGCATATGTAGCTTTAGGCAGAACATCATGGATAAGACGATCAGATATGTGATGGTATGCTGCTTGTGTTAAATGTATTCCATCCCAATGTATAAACTCTGCTGGATTTTGGCAAGCTTCAACACCCTTTGATCCACAAACCTCCTTTTTATTATAATTATATTTCCCACCAACACCACAACAGGCTTTGAGCATTGAATTCTGGTCGAACCCAAAGAAATTGCCATAATGTAAAATGGATTGAAATGCCTGATAGTAGTCGAAATAGTGAATAATCGCATCTGGAAACTCAAGTTTCAGGGATTCAACTGCTTTCTGAAGATGATTGTTGAAGAACAACACAAATTCATTGTATTTTCTCAAACACCTTTTATCATCATAATCTTTGACATCAGCACTAGGAAATAGAGTCAACATTATAGGCAAACATCCTTCAGGGAGAATTCCTGGTACTACAATATAAGTAGCTCCAAGATGAATAGCTTCTCTAACAGCATTGGATATGGATTCAAGAATAAATGGCACAAAATCCTTCCTTATCTCCTCTAAAGACCATCCATGCCAAATGGCGTTGTTAACATCATTTCCACCATATCCTCCCATTATAACAAGAGCCTTCTTCAGCAATCTCTTGCGCTCAGGCGCATCATTAGAAACAGAATTCAAGTATTCCTTGAACCAGGTCATCTGATGGTTAAGAGGAATATTTGTTGATGGTACAATAATATTTTTTTCAGCAAAGAATGCATTATCTAGAGCCGTACTTCCAGCCACGGCAAAGTTGACGCCATGACTAAATGACGCGTTTCTGTCCAAGTAAGGGCTGAGCAGCGGAAGATTCAGCGCTTTCGCGATGAAATCAATGACAAGAAGGCCGTTTGAGAAACGGCCGGTTGGCTTATGGAAGTAAGTCATACCATAGGGTAAATTGGAGATGTCGAAAAATGAAGTTGCACCGGGCTGACGAATCCGGTTGCCGGTATCTGATAATGAGTCTCCGAACTGATAAATGGATTCAAAGGGATATAAGCTGCTTTGTTTTGTAGCAAAAGTTGTACAGATCAGATACAGAAAGATGATGACTTGAGGTGGAATCATTGTACTTTTGGAGGAAGGAGACATATTTTTGATACTTGAATATTGCACGATACCTCCACGAATAGACTTTTACCTGATCTAGTTAAGCTTCTTTTAGATTTTGATCGAACTATATATGATGCAATATATATAGTCATCATCAAGCCAAGAACTTATGTACATGAAGATATCGATTGGAACCTCTATTAAGTCAATAACTATACGTAACATGTACAAATCTTATCGTTTTAAATTTTATTTATTTATTTATTTATTTTTTTGGTAATGCCGGGAACTCACCAGAGATGGATAAACCCACGTCCGCTACAATAGCCTGCAGACTACAGTGGGATATAAATTAGCCTAGACAAGTTCGGGGTGACAAGTTTGGGTGCGAAAGTCGGAACTCATTAGTGAGTTAGCCATAACTAGTTCCTAGAGGTGCTAATAGGCAAGGTAAAAGCCAACTCCTCACTTTTTATTGGAATAGAGAATTGAACTCATGACCTCCTTGGAGCAAGAGTGATTTTATCACTGAGCCAACTCCTTATTTCGCTTATGTTCTAATTGAGCAGTATATTTTTCCGAAGGAGTTGAATTTGGAAGGAGTTGGAGTGATTTACGCTACCTTGTTTTGAAGGGTCGCGTTGAGAGTAATGGGAGCTCTAATCCTGTAAAATACTAATTCTCTAATCTAAATACTATGATTTTCATGTTCGTACAATATGAATTAATTACTTGTTTGAAGGAGAGCGGGCTTGCAGTATGTCATTAAATTGTCAAATTGACACCAACTACTACAAAATAGTGAAGTCTAATTTACGGACTAATTAAGTGTGGATACGACAAAAAAGAAATGGATAACAAATATTCACTTCCCAAGGATAAAAGCATAAATATCAAAGGCATCTCATGTTTTTTTTTAAAAATAAAAAATAAAAAAATTGGACAACAAATGAGGTTATAGGCTAAAATATAAAAAATACCATTCCATGTTTAAGAATCTTGGTTATCAAGGAAGTAAATATGACGATCTAAAGTAACTCGAAAACTACAACCGTGATCCTTTTAGACATATTGTAGTTTCAGAAATCAATCCTTATTTGATAGCTCTTCCTGACCTTGGGATATCTCTGATGCAAATAGCACCAGGTCATTAAAAATTTTGATTTGGTTTGATGAAGGGCGATTCACCCTCGACAAGTCCATTTTTTTCATCCCACATCATTAATTAATTTGAAAATGGAGACCTGTTGGTGAAAGAAATGTTTCCACTATTCTGCAAATGATAGGGCTTGTTCCTAATTACACATCTTGCACTAATTTGCAAATCAAGGCATCCTTGAGATGAACGCTACAAAATTGTACCACTCAAATTTTAACTTCTTTTCTATATAGTACCAAAAAAGAAAAAGAAGAAAAGAGAGAGAGAGAGAGAGAGAGAGAGAGAGAGAGAGAGAGAGAGAGAGAGAGAGAGAGAGAGAGAGAGAGAGAGAGAGAGAGAAGGAACATGACAATCTACTTTAATTCCAACTAGAAATGAAACAAATTAATATATTTTTCTATTCATATACTTAGAATAGGGAAATTGTATTGTATTCATCATATGTTGTGCACAATATACAGACTATATATAGACAAAACAAACCCTAAACTAGGACATAATAGGAAATATACTAAATATTACAATACGCCCCTGCAAACTTACGGCGGAGAAGAGAGAAGCCGAAGTTTGTCCCGGAATTGAAAGAATAACTCTTTGGACAAGGGATTTGTCAGAATATCAGCAAGCTGATCAGCAGCAGAGATAGAATTGACCGAAACAAACTTACGCCGAACATGATCTCGAACAAAGTGAAAATCAAGCTCAACATGTCTTGTACGAGCATGGAACACAAGATTGACAGCAAGGAAAACTGCACTACTGTTGTCACACCAAATAGATGGAGGGCGATGTAAAGAAACGCCTAACTCGGACAACAGATGACACACCCAATGCGATTCAACACAGACATTAGCAACCGCACGAAACTCAGCCTCAGTAGACGAGCGAGCCACAGTGGGCTGCTTCCTAGATGCCCAGGCAATGAGATTAGGTCCCAAATAAATGAGAAAACCAGTAGTAGAACAACGATCATCCAGACAACCAGCCCAGTCAGCATCACTAAACGCAGTAAGAGTACCCAAATCTGTAGGATGCAGAACTAAACAGCAATCAACTGTACCACGAAAATAGCGAAGAACCCGTTTGAGAGCCTGAAAATGAGAAGTGCGAGGCTGATGCATGAACTGACAAAGCTTATTAACCGCAAAGGAGATATCTGGACGAGTGAGAGTGGTATACTGCAGACTGCCACACAGCCGACGATAAGTAGTCGCATCATCAGGAGACAACAGAGTATCATCCAAACGGGACAACACAACATTAGCCTGTAAAGGAGTGGAAATAGGTTTGCAAGTATGCATATTTGCAAGTCGTAGCAAATCAGTGACATACTTGCGCTGAGAGAGAAGCAAACCCTTGGAAGTACAACGAACCTCGACCCCAAGAAAGTAACTCAACGGACCTAGATCCCGAAGTCAAAACTCCTTAGCAAGACAAGAGATAAAATATTGGACCAAACCAGAAGTGCTGCCTGTAAGAATAATGTCATCCACATAGACCAACAACAAACACAACTGAGACCCACGGCGATAGACAAAGAGGGAAGGATCACAACAAGACTCCACAAAACCCAAGGTAAGCAGAAATGCTGCCAGCCGAGAATATCAGGCCCGGGGAGCTTACTTAAGACCATATAATGACTTATGCAGTTTACACACATAATGGGGACGCACCCGATCAACAAACCCCTGTGGCTGAACCATATACACGGTCTCACTTAGAGCACCATTAAGAAAGGCATTACTGACATCAAGCTGAGAAATGGACCATCCACGAGCCAAGGCAACAGTCAAAATCGAGCGAATGGTGACCGGCTTAACAACCGGACTAAATGTGTCAGTGTAATCAACCCCAAAAGACTGAGTAAAACCTCGAGCCACCAACCGAGCCTTATACTGCTCAATGGAGCCATCAGCATGGGTCTTAATCTTATAGGGCCATCGATTGCCGACAACATTGCCGGAGGAAGGAGGGGGAACTAAAGTCCATGTGTTATTTTTGAGGAGGGCGGAAATTTCATCCTTCATGGTATTCTGCCACTGAGGAAAGGATTTGGCTTGGGTGAAGGATGTAGGAGCTGTAGACAAAGCTGGGGAAACAGAGGTAAGATGAGCCGAGGGATCAAAGATTTTCTTGGGCTTGGGTTGTGGACGAAGTGTCATTGAGTGCTGACGGGAAGAAGGAGGAGGAGGTGGCGGCGGAGGACTGGAATCAAATGATGAAGAACTGGATGCAGGAGAACTAGCTAGAGATGATGAGTTGGGAGGGATAGGAGGAGACGAACGAACTGGTGTACTAGAAGGAGACGAAGAGGACGCAGAAGACGACGCAAGCATACCAGGAGAACTGGTTACACGCAACCAAGGGGTAGCAGGAGACTCTGGCAGCAAAGAAGGAGAACTAGAAATAGGACGTTTAAAGGGAAAGAGTTTCTCATCAAACTCAACATGACGAGCAACATAAAGACGGTTATGGATCACATCAAAACAGCGATAACCAAGATGAGATGGAGAATACCCAAGAAAGACACACTGAGTAGAACGAAAGGAGAATTTATGTTTATTATAAGGGCGAAGAAGAGGATAGACAGCGCAACCAAAGACACGAAGAAAGGTATAATCAGGTGGCTGGTGATATAGTGTAGTGAAGGGTAGGTGACCTTGAAGAGGTTTACTAGGGTGGCGATTAATCAAAAACACAGCAGTTTCAAAAGCAAAATCCCAAAACCGAAAGGGGGTACTGGAATGGCCAAGGAGAGCAAGTCCAATGTCGACAATGTGATGAATTTTGCATTCAGCAGTGCCATTCTGCTCATGAGTGTGTGGGCACGCTAAACGATGAACAATACCGACATCTTTAAAGAAAGAATTGAGAGAACGAAATTCACCACCCCAATCAGAGTTAACACTTTTAATGGTAGTGCCAAATTGATTTTCTACGAGAGCTTTGAATTGCTTGAAAACATGGTCAACATCACTTTTATACTTAATGGGATAAATCCATGTGAATAAAGAGAAGTCATCAATAAAAAGTACAAAGTAGCGATAACCATTGAATGACAAAATAGGAGCAGGGCCCCAAACGTCAGTGTGAATTAAATCAAGAGGTTTAGAGCTACGATGAAAAGTAGAAGGTAAACTAACCATATGTAACTTCCCTAAACAACACGCCTCACATTTATCAGTGGACGTGGACACAGAGGAATGAGGGAGTTGAAACTGCCTAACCAAAGTACGAAGAGTGACATTATTAGGGTGCCCTAAACGAGCATGCCATTGACCTAAAGAGACAAGATAAGCTGCTGGAGACAAGGAACCACGAGCAGGAAGATCTAAGCGATAGAGACCATTATCAGCCCGACCGCGGAGGAGGAGTTCCGTGGTTGAAAGATTCTTGACGCAACAAGAGTCCGAATAAAATTCAAAGAAACAGTGATTATCACGGGTAAATTTTTGAACAGATAACAGAGGCTTAGTAAGAGAAGGAGCATGCAAGACACGATTTAAATAAAGAGGACGAGAAAACGATGGCACAACAGATTGACCAACATGCTGAATAGGTAAAGCATCTCTATTACCAACTAAAATATGATCCGTACCAGTATAATCATTGGAGATACTGAGAGAGGACAAATCTGGCTTGACATGATCGGTAGCACCAGTGTCCGGATGCCAGGGAGTGACAGAAGGGGCATACTGCGCCATATGGGCTTGAGGAGACATAGTCGACTCCGGATAAGACGGAAGAGGCAACAAACCAGCTGAATGCGGTGCAGGAGAAACTGCCTGGGCATAAGCAGCCGACCGAACAGCAGGGGTTGAGGAACAAAATTAGCATCAAAACGGCGTCGACAAGTGGCGGCCGTGTGATTCAAGATGCCGCAAAGCTGACACGTCTCACCCGGGGCGGGAGGGGTGTACCCACGCCGACCACCACCACGG